TCCCGGGTTTCGGCACCAGACGTTTGTCGTGTCTTCTTCGCTTAACAAGCAATAATGAACTCTGACGACTTGAATTAAAACAAAATAACTGATTTACTGTAGTTTCAGATAGTTTTACAGGGATTCATTCACTGTTCAGCAGCGTACACACATACTCAGTTCACTTCTTCTCAGCGCGCTCTCTATCTTAATAGCATTATGGGCAATGTTTTCTTAAAGGGGATCAGCCTGATAAATTACTATATATACGTTTTTTTTTTCTTATTATTGAAAACAATGAATTAAACATTATACTAAGCATTTATGACTCATATTAATCTAATTTAAGTTACAACATATTTAGGTCACAACTACCTGCAAGTCACACTTTTTGATGCCATTGGTATAAGACAATTTTGACAGCATACAGGCAAGTTGTCCGCTGGGCCTATGGCATTCTGAACAGGCACACCAGGAAGCCCTTACCTTCATGTGTTGTGTCAGCCATTAGAAGACTAGAGGAAGGAAGGAGGACTTTATAAAGATTTTGAATGGCCCCATTTTGGTGACAATCAATAAAAAATAATCACAATCACAAATTGTCTTACTGCATAAAAACTTGTTTATGAAGTTTACATCAGATCAATCTCAAGCAGATCTACATTTATGGTTAATTCAATTCCGTTTTATTCATACAGCACTAAATAAACAAATATTATTTACTAGCACTGTTAATACCTAACTCAAAACTCAAAAAAATATATACACGTGTAGATGTACTAAACGTATACTACTGAAAGAAAAATATACCATCTGACCCATTTAAAAACATTTAACAATCAGTCTGGGTATCACACCAGATATATCTGGGTGTTGTTAATGTGTGTTAAATCGTGAATGCTGTGCTAGATGCATAACAACAGCCTCATCTTGTTGATCCTCTGGAGGGATCTGGAAAGAGGAGCAGGTGTAGTGGAAGACAGTGCTGTGTTCTCGTAGAGCCTGTGGTGGCAACCCTTTCCGTCAAGCAGGTAACCTTATTATTGCTAACATAGCGACTCATCAAAAAATACATTGGCATCATCTGTATTAAAGAGAAAATAATGACTTCATCCGATGTTTAAGTGAATAAAATAGCCTTGACAGCCTTACTTACTGGAGTTCCACAACTATTGGCTTGGTTCTCTCTCACCGGACTCGTGTGTGTAGGTCCTGATGTAAAAGAGGAAAGCAGGCATTTGGACCAAAGCACTGTGAGGCAAGGGAGGGGAGACTCAACATTTTTCTAAACTTAAAACGCATTTTTTTGTGTGTGTTGTTTTACTACTTACACAATTATTTAAAGTATAAAACATTGTTATTTACAATACTCAGCGTGGTTTTTAATCATATTTTTTTGTGGGGACAACCCTCAGATGGTATTTCCGCCTATGCCTGAGTCTGTAGCTCAAGGCTTGAGGATCATATGCTATATACAGTACCATGACATTTACATGTAACTATTAGGTACCATGTTTTTATCATGGTGTATGTCTGTGATAGAAAATAATACTTTTTTTTATTAGTGTACCAAAATTAGGCTCACTTGTTAGGATGAATTGACTGTAAGGCAGAATGTTGTTTGAGTAAAACTATAAGGTGGATGATGATGCAGTCATAATACAACATGTCACCCATATACAGGGTGTCCGCGGGTCCTTAAAATGTCTTAAATAACGTTTTCCTAATATAAGGCCTTAAAATGTCTTAAATTCGGATTTGATGGGTCTTAATTATTTTTGGTCTCATTACCGCTGAAATATCTTAAATCTGACGGACCTAATGACTTTACAATCATTGGACAGACCGAAGATTTTTTCTTCCTGTGGTAAATTACTGCGTCATCAGAGAATTGCAGTAAATTAGCAGAATACAGAATACAAGCTCGCGCTGAGGCTCACTCTTGTTTGTCTCGAGACTTCAGAACACATGAGCGTGACCGCACACATAAACTCCGAAGAAACACACTGAGGTAAACATTCAAAATGTTTCATTTATTCATAACATAACATGATATAGTTAAATAACACCATGACAAGTGAGCTATTTTACTCAATATTCTCACGACAAAAAACAATAACATTCAAAACACCCACAGAGTGCACGCATTACGTGAAGTCTAGCGCTCTGCCTGATCACTGCATGATTCAGTCTATTAAAATACATTCAGACTGATCATAAATTCAAGACATGGGGGCAGAAAATGTGTATATTTATACTCAAGTTCACATGGAAGAGTGCCTTTTTTTCTCCAAAAATGACCATATACAAATGTGATATTGATTTTTTTACAACAGTTCAATAAACTAGAAATTTTATTAAGAGACTTACGTTTTAGACACCATATTGCCTGTTTTTGCTCTATTTCGCCAACAAAAATAATTCCAAACAAAGCCACAGTGCTGTTTTGTGTCTCTGAGCAACATGACAGTGTTTTGTTCCTGAATGAATCAACCGTTTAAATGATTCGGTTCAATCGCAATGACTCACTTAACAGTGACTTACTGCCACCTACTGGCGCTTTAAATTTCACATTTAAATTTTTTAAAAATATCAGTATTCAATGTTTTATGTTTAATATATCCAAACATTATTTATGCATTTGTAACTGCAGGTTAACAGGTTAAATGTCCTGCATTAAAC